TAAGTGCCGGCACCGTTGCGCATTCTGTAAGCAGCAAAAAATAAACTTTCCTAAAAATTATGACATGGATTATAGTGACTCCCCCAATATGGGATGCTAGGCCATTGCACCGCCCACTCCCCCGACACGGGTTGCCTCAACAATTCGCAGGTAGCCAATCATCATCCTTTCAGTAGAGATTTATACAGAGTGAATGACTTATCCTATAGCTAAGACAGCGACTATATCCCACGAGGGTATAAGACGGAAAAGTGGCGATAAGAGCAACCAGCCCAGGGAATCTGTTGACAGACTACAAAATCTGAGTCACAGTACACTATTTAGTCCCCCCAAAAAATCGGAAAAAAACCCTGCTAATGGGGGGTCGAGTCGTGCCAGAATCTGTCTACACTTTAGAGTACCTGGGCAGCTCCGTATGCTGCAGGCTCTAGTTTGGACAGGTTGTCCAAAACATGGCTTTCCGCCGTTCATTGGTACAGGATTTGTACAAGTTCGCATGCGGCGTTGAAAGCGTCCGCTGCCACATGTTTTTGAACAAGGACCAAACCCGCTCCATGGACTATATCCTCCATCAACTGTGGAAAACAACAAGTATAAACACAGTCACACACTTCTGAAGGCAATCTAACAGGCTAACTTATGTGAAGTGAGATAAAGTAAACATTTCGACTCTTTCGTCACTCATGGTCGTTACGGATTGGTACGAGAGAACGTGGAGCGCATGCGTCGAGTTAGCTGACTAGACAACGTCCACGACCATGTCGACTAGACCTTGTTTCAAGGTAGGGCGTAATTTTGAGCTTCATTTCCAATTTATCTGCTTCATTCCTTCTGGAAACGAAAGACATCTACCACGAAATCACCAGCTGACTGGGATATCGCAAAACATCACTGTCTACGACTGAAGGTAAGTAAAACTCCAGCGTTAAATGTTACTGCTTTTGCGACTTACATTTTTCCCGCCCTTTTCATTCAGGATAAATGGCCGCCAGTGGCCGCATCCACGAAAACGAGCATTCATGACTACTGATCCCACTCAACTTAAATTGGAATGCAGTTTCTCCAAAAGTCTTCTATCCGTGCTAAGTTCGTTGCTGGAGAACTTAGCTTTCTCAAATTTTGTGGCCCGTTAAAAGTATTCCTTGCTATCGCAAGTTTTGATTTTGTTTCAATCTTTGCTGAAGGTAACTTCTAGATTAGTAGCCGACTGAAGAGTTTGATTTCTTATTTCTAATTGTCTATGTAATGTGAGGTGTATTGATCCTCACCCCAACATATTAAATTTTGTCTGGATTATCTGAGTTTTATATCGTTTATACTAAAATCACACAAGACCGTACCTGGGCAGCCATGACGATTACAGCGTCGAACTTGAATGGCTGGACCTAATGAATGACACATCTTTCCGCCCCCAGAGGGAATGGGCTTGTTACAGATTCTAGTCCGTACCTGTGCACCTCCTCCACACGATCTGTCACAGGTACCCCACTCTGACCAGTCACTGTATCCCCCGTCTATATCGAAGTGGAAAAAAAGTCCTTAATCACTGCCTCCCTTATAGCAATACAATTCAACTGACCCCAATGTAAAGCAAACATATCGTATGCACCTGTACACTGGCAGCCAACACGGGTGATTGATAACATCCAACCTGGGATTTACTAAGACTTTTACACTGATCAAAGCACTCTTGATTGTTTCCTTACCTACAGCCAGTGCACGAGCGAGAGCAGTTTCAGTAGCACCGTGTAAACTGGGAATTCGAGGAAAGTGAAATCCTAGATTGTTGAAAGTAAAGTTGTTACTAATCAGATGATAAATATAAATTTTAACTCGGATAAACTAAAGATATATACTAAATGCCAAGTTAAAGAACTTTTGAAAATAATTGATCCCATTTTGCATGACAATATTAACCTACCTTTTTCTCGAAAAACATTAGATCGTATCTGTTGAATTTTATTACCCAGTTCAATTGTTAACTTATTCTGACCAATCCTACCTAAATATGCGTTTATACCAGTTGAAATGGTGATAAAGTTTGTACTGCCATAATCTTCCTAAAATTTGTTGGACTTTGAGAGCTCTTGATAAATCTTGGACAGTTTACTGATGGTGTTTCTGGGGTTTCATGTACTTTTATAATTACCTGAATAAAGTGCCAGTGGATTGTAGTTAAACAGTCGGACTTGTGGTCCAGAAAGGCTTGAGCTTGGTATCATCTGAGTGTATGCTGTAAGATAGAGATATATAAAGCTAACGGTAAGGGAAAACTTGTGCCTGCGGCTCTTCCATTCGCACGTTCGTTCATTTTTTCCAATTAGTCTCCCGTAATTCGAGCTGTAACTGGTTGCCACAGCATCATCTATCACTTTTTTTTTCGAAACAAGTAATGCGCGGCATTTACTGTACAGTGTAAAATGTTAAATACAGGGCCAGAGTATTTTCTATCCTTTCCGCTGTCATCAGTTCTTCAATTTGTTTATTCTTATATTTGAAGTCTATGATATTTTTCGGTGCTGCTGTTATCTTAAAATTGGCTGATCTAGTGATTAACTAAGAACATAAGTTTGTCGTGATGTCAATTCATCAGTATCACGGACCTCGACGAGCAGACAGATAAATGGACGGTACGCCAGCCAGCCAGCCAGCCAAACAGACGGACAGACAGACTGAGAGACAGACAGGCAGACAGAGACGCACAGTCACTCAGAGATACAGTTTTCTTACCTGGACACGCTCGGTCAAAACATGATTGATGTTGAATGGAAAGCCCGGTACACAGCCCGCCAGTAGGGAAGAGCCTAGGATTAATGCAGGAGCGTTTGCGAACCCGAAATCCAACTCCACATGTCTTGGAGCATGGGCTCCACACACTCCAGGCTGTGAACAGTTGATGACTCAAACCATTTGCCCTGGGAACTAGTCCTAAGTAAAAATTTAAATTCTTCGGTGAACTCAAGTGAACTCCAGTTTATCCAACGAGCATGCGCGTACCCGGCATTATAGCTATTACAGAAGTTGTCCACTAAACTGATCCCATTACCACCGAAGGAAAGTATTCTACCCCACCCCC